AGAGTGTGTGAATTATTGCTGAGTTTATGCCTGCTGTTCCCAAGCATATTCAGAGTCAGATCTAACAACTTAGTATCGTGCAGTTTATTTCTGTTGTTTCTTACTCCTGATAATCCCACAGAGCAAACAGATACAGAAGAGACTGCGTCTCTCTGGGTTCCTCTCACATGGGGAAGGTGATGATCTGTTAGATTCTAGTTGGTGGCAGCTTAGCACTGCCACAGCAGGACCTCAGAGGTCTCACTGAGAGCAGAATAAGATGGGAGACCCTTGTAGACTTCACCAAAAAGAAGACTGGTCAGAAAAGCCCTTATTGCTGGGGACTGTGTACAAGATTGAAAGAGCCTGACTTGAGTCTTAGCTTCCTGTAGCCTGTTTGTGGCAGAAGCAAGCACATTTTTGTGCTTGTAAATTGCAGTTGAATGGAATCATCTGCAGTTGCTAAAAAGCTCAGTAAATGCAAGCCACTCTTCACACCATCTTTTAGTCGTGTTTCAGAGTAGAACGGTCGTTTTATGTTTGACATTCAGCGAAGACTGTGCAAAGCCCAAAGTAGCATCTGGCTTTCAAAGAGCACATTGAATGCAGTAAATGTGTCACCCATGTGGTATGTATTTGTTGCTGGCGCCTTCCAAGTGGTTTGTGTAATGACAAGATCCTGTGCTGGGTTTGCCCTTGCTCCCCAAGGATTATTGAGGAGATCTGTCTCTCATTCTTTCCTGTCTTTTGCTAGTGTCACTGGAGCATGCCGAGCAATACAGAAACTCACCCGCGTGCGAGTGGTGGACAACAGCGCCTTGGGGAACACGCCCTACCACCGGCCACCGAAATGTATCCACGTGTATAACAAGACCGGAGTTGGCAAAGTAGGAGATAAGATCCTTCTGGCAATCAAAGGAGAAAAGAAGAAGGCTTTAATTGTAGGGCACAAGATGCCTGGCCCGCCCATGACACCTAGATTTGATTCCAACAATGTGGTACTCATAGAAGACAATGGAAATCCAATAGGGACCAGAATAAAAACACCAATACCCTATATCCTGCGACAGAAAGAAGGAGAGTTCTCCAAAGTATTGGCCATTGCCCGCAACTTTGTATGAAAGCTACGAAAGGTCTCTGGCAATCCTGTTTATATCCTTTCATACAGTAGCTGTTCCTTGGTCCTTTTCTAGAAAATGGTGAAACATGAAAAAGTTGAGGTTCATCAAGAGTCTCTTTTCCTGTTTAAGAATTACAAGCAACTAGTTTAAATGTTGAAATACCTTGTTTTTCTCCAAAAGAAGGTTGATGTATTTCACAGAACATCTGCAATGTGGGAAATGGTCCTTCACCCTTACTGCTCCAGTGGTGTTAATTTGGTCTCTAATCATTAAAATTGAGAACATTAAAATCCTCCTTGTTTTGTACTGCTTGTGCTCTCTTTTCGCTATTTCTGCCTTTCCCAGTTCCCCAGGAGCAGGACAGAAAGCACAGTCCCTGGCCCGGTGACACTGGCGTCTGCAGAATGGATTCACATCGAGTAGGAGAGAGATATAATGAACTTTTGGTGCCTTGGGCACATTCAATAAAAGGATTAGTTTCTATGTCTTTGCCTAAGAAAAGTCTTTAGGAGGAATCAGAATTGGGAGAGCGTGATGGCCTATAGCTTCATTGGTGTGTGGTTGAAGAGGGTATGCCCAAGGTGGGGAAGCAGAGGTAGGAAGGGGAGGTTTGAGATGCAGCCTATGCTCTCCATCCACCTGACCGGCCTCAGGAAATTGTGTTCTCCGCGTAGTGCAAGGGCTGGGTTCGGATTGACAGGTCCACAGGAAGAAGCTTCCTTTTGGACTGCTTTTCGGGACCGCGTCAGACATTGTCTGTGATATCGGCTGGTGAGACTGGCTGTTGTCCAGCTTCCCCAGCTCGGGCACAATAGTGGGCAAATGTTACTGTATTGCTTTCAGGGCCAGCTGTGATCCGGGAGCCTTTATATGGAGCTGAGTGGAGAAACTTGGTGCTCGTGGCAGGTAAAGGGACATCGGGGCAGAGCACTGCTAGAAATAGCAGTGCTGGGGAAGAGGGTGCTGGGGATGCAGCCAGCAGGAGTCTGGCCAGCTGGTGGCAGTGGCGGCTGGCTGTGCCTTGTCCTCCCACCTCCCCTCCCTGCTGTGCTGGGAAAGCTCCTTACAGTAGCCCTGCGTTCCCCCGGTGTGAAGAACTGAAGACTGCAGTGCTGAGCTGTTCCACACTTCAACTAGTTACTCCTGGGCAGATGTATCTGCCCCATGCTCCCTGCTGTGGAATTCACGTTGCCCATGGAAAAGGTGAGCCCTGGATCCCCTCGTACTCCATTACTCCAGGTAACGCCAATAAGATGATACTTCAAGTTTAAATTCAGTCTCAACCTTTAAGTAACAGTGCTGTCCTGCTTAGAAACACTTCACTGTGAACTGCAGGGTCCCAAGCCTGTGCGTTGCCCAGGTCTGTGCGAAAGCAGAGTGTACTGCTGCTGGCAGCATGTTCCTTGTTGGCTGTTGTCCGTGGGCCAGCGGGCATTGGGTCTGCTGCTCGGAGTCCTCCTGAACCCCGCAGGCCTTGCCTTTAAGCCCTCAGCGTGCTTGCTTCACAGGTGTCTGCTCGCTGGCACAGCAGCGGAGTGGCCTCTCGCCTGGCTGATGTCAGTCTTTCCAGTCTATCTGAGGGCACAGGTCCGATCCTGGCACCAGGGAGCCTTCGTGCAGGGCTGCAGGGTGCTGAATCTACAAGAGCTGGGCAAAGGGCTGGGAAAGTCAGCATTGTGCCCTGCCATCAGCAGATAAATCTTCACAGCCCACTTCAGGTGTTTGTTTTAGCTTTTTCAAAGCTCATCCCAGTAGCAGGCTAAAGTATTTCGAGTAGAAAAAGGGTGTATGCTTTTATGCATTTTTAGGGAAAGTGTTTATGTCACTTAACAGCTCTGCAGTCTTGCTTTAGAAAACCTTCTGCAACCTTTGAAAGTCCCCCAACCCTGATAAACACATAAACAAATACTTCTATAGGGTTTTTTAATAAACAAATCATAAGCCAATTGCCATGTCTGTCATGCCCTTCCTGCAGGCAGAAGGAGCTCAGACTTCCTCAATGTAAATCCTTTTGAGAAGAGGAAGATGGCTTCCACTAACATAGGGCTGGAAAATACGCTTTCAAATGGCGCTTGCATGGGGTATTTTGTTTCTGTGCAAAGGCTGTGGGCACAGTGGAAGTGGGGTTGAACCCAAGCTGGAATACCTCGGTCCCAGCTATCCTGGTTTATAACACATCTAAAGGGCTGCTTTAGTGAGGTTTTTGCTTGGTAACAACTCCAGCCTCGAAGCGTCTCCCAGTAGGACCTGGGGGGGTGCAAACAATCCTTGTTTTTTTTTTTTGTCCTGACCATAAGGGCTATGAGTCTCTCATGGGATGCACAGACCCTGCTGTTTGGATATTAAATATTTCACAGAATATTTGCTAATAACTTTCCAGCGTTTTGCTGGGGAAGAGGTCATGGGGAGAGGGCACGAGAGGAAGCGGGCAAGACAATGCAGCATACTTGAGATTAAAATGTGAAGCGATGCTTTATTTCTAAGTAAACTGATATGTGGAACTAAATCCTTAACCTCGGAGCTTAATAACCAGACATGCAGACAGCTAAGCTAAGCATATCCCATAGAGCGTCTCCTGCAGGTTTTACCCATCTTTATCCTCAGCCCGTGGTGACAGCTCTGTGCTCGGCAAATTCCAGGCGCTGCCTGTAGCAGCACCCCTCTGAGGGGAAAGAGCCTGGCTCGTGGATGAGCCCTTAGCCTGCTCCCACCCATCCCACCGAATTCGGCCCTGCCATGGCCGCGGGATGCTCAGCCCCTGACTGCCCCGGCGCGGCTCCGGCGGCAGAGCCCGCGCAGGCAGGAGCAGATGGATGGCGCCTTGCCAGTGGCCCAGGCTGATGTAGCTTCTCTGGGCTCTCTTTTCCTTTGAGCAGGCCCTGTATTCCAGGTCCTCTCTGTTGTTGCAGCACAGGGGACAATACCTGCTTGTTCTCAACTTCCAGGCTGGCCCTCGCTCTGATCCGGACATGCCGGAGCCTTCTGAGCAGGGAGGCAGTGGTGTCCCCGGAGCGGCTGCTGGGTTTCCTGGGTTCCGGCTTGTGGCATCCTTTTTTGGGATCTGCCTGAGACTGAGCTCTCCCCAAATGGGAGGCTTTTCCTCGTACATCCATCCTGCTAGGAAATCAGATGTGATTTCCTCTGTGGGTAGCGATTCATGCAGGGCCTTTTCTTGAAGGATGGCTGCAGGCTGGTGGGATGATTCCCTCAGAGGAGGGAAGAAAAACTAAAACACCACCTACCTCAGCTGCTGCCAGAAGGTCATTCTCTCCCCTGCTCCCTATTTATGTTTATTATTCTGCCATTACATGATTTTATATGGTAAATGGGAAAATTTCCCAGTGTGAGACGGTGCTTAGGAGGAATTCTCCCATCTCCTGTGCAGCCGCTGGGGGAGCTGCCACCCGCTGCAGAGGGAAGGGGAAGCCAAAGGCAGCGTCCTCCCAGGGGGTTACAAAAGTGCCTCCCTGGTCAGCTCCGACTGGGTCCCTGGGTTAGTGTCTGCTCCCGTGTGTTTGGATACGGGGTTTGCGTCAGATGAAGCTCCCAAGAGGGTGCCTGTTCCCCTGGTGATGGTGGGGACTTCATGCCCAGACATTCTTCCGTGGGAGCTGGGGGAGAGGGGTCTTTTTTTAGGGCATCCTGCATGGGTAGGGAGAGATGGCCTTTGGGGAGATGCTTGCCCAGAAAAGACATGCGACGGGGCTCTCTGGTGAGGGCTGGGGTCTGGAAAGAGACAGGCGAGCAGCGGGGATTAGCTGGCCGTGAGAAGGGGTGTCCCCGAAAGGAAGCGGGCGAGACAGATTACCGCGGAGGGATGCAGCGGGGAGCTGATGTCTTCCATCTGCTTGGAGACTGAGGCTGGGAGACAGGCGGCCCCGTCTCGTGGCCCTGTGCCAGCAGGGTGGATGGACCACAGAGCTGGGGGAGGCAGCTAGTGACTTTGGGGGCTGGGAGGAGGGGGAGACAGCCGAAACCCCAGCCGAACCTGGGGCAATGCAGCCGGAGGCCGGACTTTGGTCCAAAGTGAGCGTTGCTCAGTTGGCAGGAGTGAGGGCAGCGAGCTGCACATCCCAGAGCGGGAGGCTAGATGGCAATGTGGGTGTGATGGTGTGCCCGGCAGCCTGCCCTCATGGCCCCACACCGCTCGGCGGGCCCCTAAGCCTGACTGACGCGCCGGAGCCGAAATCTCCCTCTGTCAGCACGTTCCCCAGCCGCCGGCCCACAGCAGGGCAGCGGAGCCATGGCTGGCGAGGAGGAGGAAGATGGAGACTTTGGGGCGACTGAGCCTGATCTGGTCCCTTGGGGAAAGACCTGGCGAGAACCAGGAGCTCTGACAGGGGCTGAGTTCTGTCTCCACGGAGGGGTGCTGAGTGGCCGGGGGCGGCAGGGTCACATCTAACCCCCGTCCTGTTTTGGGCGAGCTGGGTTAGGGAAATCAATGGAAAGATGGGTCTGCAAGTGGTGCTGTGACTCCCACAGGGCTGGTAGCTGCCCGTGGCGGGGAGAGGAGCGACATGATCCCCTGCCCAGCGTGGGATGCTGGCTCGTGGATGGCAGGGGGCTGCAAAGCAGGGGGCAGGGGTGGGCGGTGGGGACGTGCAGCCTGGCTCTCTTGGGAAGTCGGGAGCTGGGCCGCTCTCCTGATGCAAAACAACCCCTCAAAATGTATTGAAACCCCCTGCCAGGGCCTTTCACCTAGAGGCAGATGCCAAATCCCCTTCCCTGAGGGAGAGGCTTTTCCAGCCCCCGGGGGGGGGGGGGGGGTGGAGGGTGGGGGGGCTTTTATCCCGGGGGGGAGGGGCTTGCAAAGCCTCAGGAGGTGAGCGGGGTTTGCAGGCTGAGCAGCATTTTCCACCTGGCCGCTCATGGAGAGGCAGCGGGAGGACCCTGCTGAGCCCTTCTGATCAGACAGGGGCGGGTTGTCATTTTTTTAGCCATCTGCTTCTCTTCTGGACGTGGCTGTGCTGTTTAGGATCTGCATGACTCAGGGAGAGCAAAGAGGACCGGGTAACAGCTGAACCCGGGGCCTCGCTTGTTTATATCCTGCAGCTACTGTTCAAGATAGACGAGGGCAGGGGGAGAGTGTCCATCAGGGAGACTGTATGGGCTGGACGCTTGGACTGGGAAACCCAGAAGGGCTGGAGGGGGTGAAGAGCTGGGAGTGAGGGGAGGAGGCTGGGGCTGGCACCGCTGCCAGGGCAGAGCCCTGAGGTCAAAGCTTGTGTGGTCGCTGCCCAAAGGGCTCTCCCATGGGTGAGTTAGCACTGACTGCAGCCTTGTCAACTCATTT